CAAAATAGTAAAGTTAGAGCCCTACTCACATCATATGCAAAAATTAACTCAAGGTGGATCAGTAACCTAAAAATAATGGTTAAACTGTAAACCTCTTAAAAGAAAACAGAGGGGTAGACTTTTGGTCAAAATGGCAGGGTAGGTAAGTACTGTGCTTGCCTCCTACAATGACCACATCAAAATTACAACTAAATTATAGAACAACAACCCTTGAGAATTGCCTGAAGACTCGCTGAACAGAATTCCTATAATTAAGACTATAATGAAGCCACATGGAGATTGGTAGGCGGGGCAAAGATGTCAAAAGGGCTAGTCCCAAAGCCACGTATGACAGTTCAGAATAGAGAGGGATAGCCTGGTTGCAGAGGTTCCCCCTGAGGAACAAGATGTCCCAGTCCCACACCAGGCTCACCAGCCTGAGAGTATCAGTGCTGGAAAAAGGAGTCCCAACATCTAGCTGTGAAAATCAGCAGCAACTCAGTCTGGCTGGGAAGAAGGGCTGCTGTAGACCCAGGCATTCTCTTAAAGGGCCCAAGCACAGACTCACTCACTCACAGACGTTCACCCTAAGCTCCGGCACAGGCACAGCATCTCCAAAAGTGCCAGGAACATACAAGCAGGAACTAAATTGTCTTGCTTCAGGGAAGCTCTCTCTGGGACTAACGTGTTAGCTGGTGCCATTGTTCCTTTGTTAATCCCTCCCTATACAGAACCAACAGGTGCAGGTGGTCACCGAATTTGAGTCTCCATTAACTTGGCTAACACCACTAACTTAGCTAACAACATTCTTAACCCACCCTGGTGGTTCCCTGAAATCTCACCCCACCCAATTCATGCACCCAGTCCAAATCTCTTTCAGAGGCTAATCCACAAAAGCAGTTGGCCTGGACCCACGTTGCAGACTTTCCAAAAACGTCCCAAATGTCCACAAACCCCAAACCAGTATTGGCTGGCCTCAGTATGTCCTACGCCTCTTGCTAAGTGGCCCCAAGCCCAGTATTCTTGGCAGCTGGCCTCAGTTCAGAGCATAACTACTCCCAGCTGCCGCCAAGCACAGACTAGGCAGCTATCAATCACAGATCACTTGGTAGCTCCTACCAGGTGCCCCTAGGCCAGACACAAGCAGTGGCTGAACTTGGCCTGCACTGGTGCCCCTCTCAAGAGGCTCCCAAATGAACATACCTGCTGGCCAGCTTCAGCCACACCAGGGCACTACATAATTAATGCCAAGAGTGACACACCCAAAAGGTGGATTTGGCAGGCACTAGAGCCCCACTAAAGTAAATCCCAGTTCAAGGGGTCAGGCCCTGCACAATGACTTGCCCTCTGTAATCACAGCCAGTCCTCACAGCCATTCAGCCTGAGGGTCAATCCCACCCACTGATGTGACAGCAGCTATCAAGGCTCAACTATAATAGGAGAACACACACAACCCACNCAACATTACACTGCCTGAGGTAGATTAGATGTTGCAGTAGAAAGGATTAGTCAGCTTGGTGTATTGCAATGTAAACTATTCAAAATGAAACACAGAAAGAAAAATGACTGAAGAAAAGACAGGACATCTTTCAGTAATAGGACAACTTCAAACGGCCTCCATGTGTATAACTGGAGGCACTGAAGGGAAAAAGTTAGGGGGTGTGACTACAAAAATTCTTTTATTTCTTAGTGTAAGGATGAGGATTATGGATATTGATAAAAGGAAGAGTAGTAAACACTCATATGTGCTTAATACGTATCAGCACCACTCGCAGCACTTCATATTTATTAAATTATTTCATTGCCAATACTCTATGAGACAAGCATTCTCATTATAACCCTGTTTCACAGATGGGGATGCTAGGCACAGGGGGATGAGCCCCGTGTCTGAGGTCAGAACTAGACATTACCGACCGAGCAGCAAAGCGCGGTCCCCGACCCCAGAGTCCAACATCTTCATCACAGTCCTGTGGCCTCTGCGATTCCAAAGCTAAGACTTGGCATCTCCTTAAGGTGACAGAAAGTTCTCTCTCCTATTTCAAAAATAAGTGACTGATATTGTGACTTGGTAGTGCAGCCCTGTTCTATAGAAATAAAATTGAGCACATATTGAATTTAACATTTTCCAATAGCCGTGTTTTAAAAATGTGGATAAATAAGTTGAATTAGTTTTAAATTGGATTTTTTAAACTCACTTAGTTGAAAATATTGTTTCAATATAAATTAAATAAAAACTATTGATATATTTTACATTATTTGTATAGTAAGTCTTTGAGAACTAGCAGGTATCTGAGTGTCCCCACCTCTGTGCACAGACGAACCCTTGTTTTAATGGGAAACACAGATTCCAACACCGTGAAGATCTGAGCACTCCTCAGAACAGACTAAGGGAGGACGGACCACCCGAATATAGAAGACAGGGATGTAATGGGAGGGACACAGAGGGACTGGGACAGGGAGGAGGAGGATATGAAGCAGGGCGAGGGGCAGGGCAGGGAAGGGGCTCAAAGCTCAGTCTGAGGTCAGTCTCCTGGACTGGAATCTTGACCCATCATCGCTGTCTGGGGGACTTTGGGAAAATCATTATCCTCACAATGAGGGCTTCCTCCTCATGAGGCTAGAGGAGAGGCTGTGGCTTCAGCACAGGGCTGCTGTTGGGTTATTGTGATGTCAGGTGAGGGGGTGCAGGTAAAACACTCACCAAGGATGTGGCTTCTATTCAGAGCTGAACACTAGTCATTCTGTGAACTATGATACCTACACATGTAGGATGACATTCACTCTGGGAGCATCAGCGGCACTGTGGGTCCTGGTTTGGGGACCTACTAGGGCCGATTCCCCGGGGCTGGCTCAGTGCAAATGGCATGACTGATGCTCCTTTAAAGATACTTCTGGGTAGACACAACTCTCCACTCTGAAACCCACCCCTGGCCCTTCTTCTGACCCCAGGAAATTACCAGCACGAGGCCCTGAGGCTCAAGGCTCAGAGTAGAGCTGAGACAGACACACTGGGCAATGGAGAGCAGATTTGCACTCATGCTCCTTTCTTCTTGAGCTGCAAGAAGAGAGGATAAGACAGGAGCTTGGAGAGGCCAGTCCCAGCTGGGCAGCCTGAGGGCAGAGCTCTGGGAAGACCCTCCCCACCATGGACTGGGATTCCTTCTACCTCCTGCCCTGGTTTTCTCCACAGCTCAGAGTGGCCCAGGGCACTCAGGAGTCCAACTCCTGATATTTTGCTTCGAGTACAGCCCTAAGGGACATGTGTCCTGATTGTGATGCATTCAGCATCATTTTTCATTCTTCCTTTTCCAGGCTTCTGTGCTCAGCCTGAGCTGACCCAGCCCCCATCTGCATCTGCCTTCCTGGGAGCCTCCGCCAAGCTCACCTGCACCCTGAGCAGTGAGCACAGACGCTACACCATTGAATGGTTTCAGCAGCACCCAGGGAAGGCCCCTCACTACATAACGTATATTAGGAGTGATGGAAGCCACAGCAAGGGGGATGGGACCCCTGATCACTTGTCGGGCTCCAGCTCTGGGGCTGACTGCTACTTAACCATCTCCAACCTCCAATTTGTGGATGAGGCTGAGTATTACCGTCGTGAGGGCCGCACAACTGATGGCCAAGGCGGGTAAGCCACAGTGGCATAGACAATGGAGATAGGAGGCCAACACCTGCCTCCTTCTGTCTCCTCATCTTCATGGTGTCTGGACGATCTGCTCGCTGTCCCTTTCCAGGACCCGGAGACCTTGACTGTTTTCCTTGCAAATCCCACGCTCCTCTTGCCAGTGACACGGCTAGCAAGAGGCGATGTGGGTCAGAATTTAGGTAATTTTCATGACACAANATAATCATGAAGTAGGTCTGCTGTAGCTCTGCTGGGACATCCGTGATGTCTGTGTTGGAGAAACAGGACCATGTCCCTGGTCTCAAAGGCCCAGTGAGCATGTCATCAGGCTGCTGAATGTGCCCCCTGTGACCTGTGCAAAGGGCACTGCATCTGTGGGTCTGTGTGTGTTTCAATTAAGTATAAAGATGAGAATTATGTATAAAGGAGGAGTAAACATTCATATGTACTTAACATGAGTTAGCATCATTCACAGCACTTCATATTTATTAAATTGTTCCATCACAAATACTCTATGAACAAACATTCGCATCATCAACCCGTTTCACAGATGGGGGAGCTGAGGGGTGGACGGATGAGACCGTGTCTGAGGTCAGAACTAGAAAGCGGCTGACGCAGCTAAAGACCTGAGGTCCTCTGGCCCCAGAGTCCCTTGCCTTCACCACCACCCTGTGCTCTCATTGTGCTTCAAATAATCTAAGACTTGACTTTTCCTTGAGATGCAAGAAAGTTCTCTCTACTTTTTCAAAAGCAAGTGACTGATGTAAATGGCTCTGCAGTGCTGCCTTTCCAATAGAAAAAAAAATCAATTGCACCCGATTGATAATTTAAAATTATGTAGGATCTGCATTTGAAATATTAAAAGAAATTGGTGGTATTAGTTTCATAATCTATTTTGTTTAATTCAATTAGTTGAAAATATTATCATTACAATAAGGATTAAATAAAAATAGAAATACATTTTACATAATTTTTATACTAAGTTTGAAATCTGCTGTGTGTTTCAGAACGACAGCGTGTCTGTCCTGGAACAACCCGCATTTCATGCTCAGCAGCTGCATGTGGCTTGTGGCTACTGCATTGGACAGAGCAGGTTAGATGGATGAAGTATCCTTGGAGTAACGGTCCCTGTAATATATACTCACAGCCACCAGAGGGCGATGGAGGGTCCCATGACTCAGGCCTCACAGGGGGAGGAGGACTGGTTCCTCCACTTTCCACCCAAACCAGGAATATTGAGGCCTCCCAGAAACAAGGGAGTTTTTATAACATGTGTCGATACTAGTCCCTTATCAAACCAATGATATTAAATATAACTACAATTTTAAAGATGAATCTGAGCTATCAAACATGTTTTATTATTAGTCAGTGTAAAGAATGACAATAGTGCTTGTGAAAAATTATTTACAATTATTGCTACAAGTATCCCTTTCAATAGGAAGATCATTTCCATGAACCTCATTGTTGCGGGGAACCNGCCACTCTGCCAAGACTGGGAGATGTAGCAGATCTACCTAATACATAGAAACAAACACAGGGCGGTGGCCAAATGAAGAGACAAAGAAACATGTCCCAAATGAAAGAACAGGATAAAACTCCAGAAAAAGAACTAAGCAAAATGGAGGCAAGCAATCTACCAGCTGCAGAGTTCAAAACACTGGTTATAAGGATGCTCAATGAACTTAGGAGAAGAATAGATGATCTCAGTAAGAACTTCAACAAAGAGTAAGGAAATGAAAAAAAATGATAGAAAACATTTTTTTTAAAAGTCAGAAATGAAGACCACAATTACTGAAATGAACAATACATTAGATGGAATCAACAACAGATTAGATGAAGCAGAGGTTCAAATCAGTGATTCGAAAAATAAGGTAGCAGAAAACACCCAATTGGAGCAGGAAAAAAAAGGAAAATTTAAGGGACCTTTGGGACAACTACAAGCATAATAACATTTGCAATCATGGGAGTAAAAGAAAAAGGAGAGCAAGCAAGCAAGGGATTCAGAACCCATTTGAAGAAATAATGATGTACTTCCCTAACCTGGCAAAGGAAATAGACATACAAATCCAGGAAGTAAAGAGAGTTCCAAACAAGATGAACCCAAAGAGGTCCACACTAAGACACATCATAATCAAAATGGCAAAGGTGAAAAACAAAGAGAATCTTAAAAACAGCAAAAGCAGTTAGTTACTTGCAAGGGAGCTCCCATAAGACTGTCAATTGATTTCCCAACAGAAACTGGAGGCCTGAAGAGATTGGTAAGAAATATTTAAACTGATGAATAACAAGGACCTACAACCAAGATCACTCTACCCAGCAAGACTATCATTTAGAATCAAAATAGAGATAAACAGCTTCCCAGACAAGGAAAAGCTGAAGGAG